TAACAGTTTCTATCCGGCTCTGAACTATTTCTTCCGCGCCTACGCGCTGGATGACCAGAATCCCGTGGTCCTGCTGTCAATTGCCCTCTGCTACATCCACCAGTCCTTGAAACGGCAATCCGAGAACCGGCACTACCTCATCATGCAGGGACTATCGTTTATGCAGGAGTACCGACGGGTCCGCGAACGTCCGGGAACATTCTTATCCGAACGCCAGGAGATGGAATTCAATTTTGCCCGCGTCTGGCACACGCTGGGGCTCGCGCATCTGGCAGCCGAAGGGTACCAGCGCGTGCTCGATATAGGCACGCAGATCCAAGCGCAGTCTAAACCTGCTTCGCGACAGAGCACGGGGTTGATAGACGGCAGCGATGTTGTCATGACCGATGCTAGCGCGGGAGTCGATGAACCTGCGCCATTTGTGGAGGACTTTTCGCGGGAAGCCGCGGTGGCATTGCAGAGCATTTACGCTCTTGGCGGCGATATCCGATCTGCGCAGCAAGTCACTGCCCAATGGTTGGTCATTTAGGATGACGGGTCGGAAAGAGGGGCTCCATGCATCTTGTCTGCGGAAATCCATGAAGTCATATCTAATATAAACCACAACTTAGAGCACGTAAGGCTTTCTGATATGATGGAAGGGAGGACCCTACGCTCTGCTTGGCCTGCACCTCTGGGCGATCTTATAGATGATTTTCTATCTCCCCACCCGACAACTGTCAAACAGGGTAGTCGAGGATAAGGTTCTGATTATCTCAATCGGATAACGTCGCCTGTCGTGAATCTCGGTCGAGTTGCCCAGAGTTACACTACGCCATCACGTTGTTGAGGCCATGATTCTCCGTAGAAGATAGATGTCATATCAATGTCTCGAGAGGAGACCGCTTGACTGGATCGAGTCAATATGAAGCAGGCTGCAAAGTTCAAGCCGCATAGCGAGGCCATCTGCTACAGCACATGTACATAGTATACCCCATCCATCTCCAAGTTATGCAAATGACTAACTACACTTGGGCAACTTCCAGCCCACCCAAAAAAAAAAAAAAACTATATTGCCAACCCAATCCGCATTCAACAACGTAAATCAGAAGATATCAAATAACTTGACACACATCCTCCGTAGCCAACCGCCCTCACAAGCCAGAACCCGATAATGGGGAAAGTTCAGAAATCCATCTAATCCAGGCTAGGATGAGGATATCGCCACCCCCGAGAGGGAGGGGGGAGGGCTCGGTATAACTTCCCCCTCCCTCTCCCCCAAACCCCCTCCGGATGGAGTTTCGATCGGCCTCGTCAGACGTCATTGATCCTTTCCTTGCCCAGTAACCGTAAATTTACTTTTACTTTATCCAAACAAGGCGTTATTCTGCATGGTGGGCAGGGATATGATGGCAAACTTCAAATATCACGAATCTTTATATCTACTGTAGCTATTATACGTAAATTTACCCCGCAATATTGCCCCCCCCCCCCCGTTTCCCCCAAGGCACGGACGAGGGAGGATCTTCGGGTGGGCACGGTTGTCTGCAATTGGGTTACAGCCCATGAGTTGTCGGACGTGTATACGTATACTTTGGCTACGGATTCGATGCGGGCAAATCATTGACGTACCGGTACTCATATTTGTAGTTAGGCGGGGGGTTGGGGATCGATCTGATCTACGAGTGCCTCATACCTCATGCACAACTCATACTTACTACCCAGGAAACTTGAACGGGGATTGATTGATTGACTGTATGCATGCGGCTTGATGCATTATGCACTGAGAAATATGGGTATGTATTTTGGCTATTGGATGGAAATTGATTATTGGATATGTATGACAGGACAGCTTCAGCTGGATTTGGAGGAGACGATCGCCCTTGGAAGGGGCAGACAGGGCATCGGTACGTGGCGGTAGGTAGGTACTGGGTACTTGGGTCCGTTTTGAGTATCGAGGTAATTTTTGGTTTGGGGTATGTTTTTACAAGGGCGATGTATTTCGGGGGTGAAATGTATTATACAGGATTTCTAGGGTCTTTGAGCTAAATGAAATGCGCCATATAATTATATGGTGAACACGAATCCAAGGACCAGGGGGGGATGGATAGGGACAGGGACAGGGAGAGGGACAGAGCAAAAGGGAAATGGGCTTGATAACCAAAATCTCCACCACATGATAAGCAAGGCTAAATAAGACGAGGGGCACCAAAAATCAACATCTGTAAGTTAGCGGGGGAAGGAAGCACAAGCAACGCGTGCAGCAAAATCTATCTTCCTCGGAGTGCATCCTCCTCACCATACATATCCACATCGTCGAAGAACACGGCCGATTGGCGTCGCATCTCTTCGAAGATGTTGCTCCCCGAACTACCCCGTCGGGGCTCCGGGACCCGCAGCCGCAGCCGGGACGGAGCGTGCGAGGAGGATTCCTCCGCGGATGAGAGGTCCGAGTGCGACGTATCCACTAGGTACTGCGTCTCCTCTGTCTGTCGTTCGGGGAGGGTGTGGTCCAACCGCCGAGATAAGGGATCCATTGGGCTGCTGCTGCCACCGTTCTGCCGCCAGCGCGACGGCGCCGGCGAGACGCCTCGACCACCGGCCTGCGTGAACTGCTGTAGCCCCTTGACGACGGCGATCTCGATCTTCAGTCGGTTCTTGATGAATTGGATCTTGGGAAAGGCGCTCTGCTGGCCGACCCGCAGCATGCGCGCTAGACGCTCGGGGTCCGGGTCGGAGAGGATGTGCCAGAAATCTGAGGGGATGGTCTTGGGCCAGATGGTGACGGTGCCGCTGAACTTCTGGAGCCAGATCTCGCTCCAGTCCTGGCCCAGTGGCCGCGGGAGGAGCTCGAGATGTCGCAGGACGCGCAGCCATTTATTCATGTCCAGCTTGATGTATTGTTCAATCGCGGAACCTAAGAACCCCCCACGCCAGCCTCGGCCTTTGCGGTGGGTGACCGGTCGGCCGACTGACCCTCGAGAGCTGAAGAAGAAGAGGTTGATATGGGGATTGACCTGCGTAGAGTCCAGTGCGTTAGTGCCTCGGTCTTTGAGTCGTGGGGAAAGCCTAGTCTCACCTGCGAAACAATGGTGAAGTTGACGTTGAAATGTAGATTCAATGCTTTGATGGGGATGTCAGTCCGCAAGCTGCCATCTTTCCATTTGTGTCCAAATGAATAAGGCGCAAGTGTGCCGTCGCGTTTCTTGGTCATTAGTACCACCGGGTTCAGGATGCCGGGGACGGCCGCGGACGCCAGAACAGCGCTCCAGATAACACAGTCCGGCGAGGTGAGATAATTGGCCAAGATAGTTGGCGAGTGAGGGTCCGATGGAACGCACGAAACGTTCAGTATACGGCCCGTCCGTTCATAGGCCTCCCGGAAAGTCATCGAGCCCCTACAGAACCAGCTACACTGACGGGCCCACTCCAGAGTGTCAAACCGAGCCCCTGTCCTCCACCAACGCATGAACCATCGCGGGAAACTCTCGTGACAGGCCTTGATCCGGTGCGCCAGCGCAGGTACCAGCAGCTGTTTCAGTTCCTCGTCGGTCCGGGTAGCAACCAAAGCAGCCACCAGCGCCCCTCCCGATGTTCCCGTGATGATCTCCGGCAGGATCTCGTTATCCAGAAGCGCGCGCACAATCCCAAAGTGGTAATAGGCGAAGGTAGCGCCGCCAGACAGACACAGCGCGGTCCGTCCAAAATTGGTGTCCAGATGCTTGAAATGGCGGATCTTCTCTTCGGTGCTGATCATCTTGGACTCCGACACCACCTGTATACACGCATGCAGCTCGTCCATGTACGTCTGTACCAGGTTCTTCGTCCCCGAGTACGCCTCGCTATAGAGGCGGGGATTCTCCACCCCGGCGAAGTTGTTCTTGACGCACGCTTCCAGCAGCGTGCACAGCTCCTCCGCCGCCGGCGTTTCCCCGGCTCCGCCACCCGCCTTGTCGTGCATCTCGCGCTCCGCCTCTCTCCTCGCCTTGCGCAACTGCTTCACTAGGTTACTGATGGTGAGATGGTCGTAGTATGCATATTCGTCGATCTCCTTCCACCGCTGATTGCCGAGGTAGTTGTCGAGCGCTTGGGCTGCCTTCAGCCAGTCGCGGTAGTTGGTCTGCGCATGGAGCTGCCTCCGGAGTCGTTGCCGCGTGCCCCGCCACGAGATCCAGTGCTCGTACAGAACGATGTAGATGCGCGTGAAGGCGTACGCGATGGCCAGGGCGGTGATCCAGCCAAAGACAATCAGCAGGAATGGCCACTTAAGAAATGTGTAGAGCACCCCTTCCCTCGTTTCATCCTTGGTGCGTCGCGGCGGCCCTTTGCGACGGCTGCTGCGGCCCTTCTTGACTCGTTGGTAGATCGGACGCCAGTCGTTGAGGGCCACCAATGGTGAGGCCCCCTGGTCGGTCAGGGCGTTCTCGAACTGTCGCAGATCATCGGAATTGATGAAGTCGTGGTCGTAATCGGGGATGGCGCTGGGATCATAGATCTCGGTCGCTGCAGACTTTTCTGCTCCATTCATGGTTGACGATAATGCATGTTGAGGAGAAATGATGGAGGGTTGAACGGAGGAGATGGCATTGGTTAATTTCCCGGGCGAGAGGGGGTAATCAGGGACTCGGGAGTGACGCACTACTAGGGAGCCGACGTCAGTGGCCTCCGATCCATGCCAGCACCGCCCCTTTTCCGGAACTAATGCGCCACAGACCTCCTAGCCTAGGAGGAATGTGGCTTGAGTACACCACGCACTACGTTCTTACTGTACTCCGTACTCACTTTCCCTCGCCCGAATCGGCACCGAACCATGGGTCCCGAGTCTAGCCCGTTGCATAAAGTGGAATGGAAGGTCAACAACAGCGATAAGGCTTTATGGTCGGTTATCAACTATGCACATGCTCTAAGATGTAGCTAATGGTACTGAAATAAAGGTCCAAGGTGCCACAGCTTCCTTCGTACAGAACACGAATCCCTAACTCCTCCTCCTCCTCCTCCTCCTACTCCTGTACTATCTGACCATGATGCTGCAATATGCACTTGAGTGCCCTCGCAAGTTCAATCCTTGGCGAAGCTGAAACTAATAGGGGCTGCAGCTAAGGTGACAAACAAACATCTGGTCTATCACTTTGCTTTTGCAGCGTCACAAATCCATTTCCCTCCACCGAATTGTGCATCTATGCCCTCTCTTCCTTGATGCTGTCGCATCGCTTGTCCCTCCATGAAGGCTTGAAGGTTATCAAAAAAACTCAACTTGCACATCCCTTCCTCATCATTTGTAATCCGATGGGTCTGTGTCACCGATAGATCGACGGTGCAGACGAGGGAAGCTTGTAAATCACTGCCTGGGTGGCCCATGATCATCCGACCGGGGGGTGCAACCATGGGAATTGTGAAATCCGGGGAGCAGTGAAAGGAATGTGTTTCCCGTACGGCCCCCTTCCCCCCTCCCTCTCCCCCGTATTGCGCACGCACATGTCTGAGGAACACGCGGAAGGCTGTAGGCATGACTCGGGTGATTGCACCCTGTACATGTCCCAACGGCTTCTTACAGGTCAATACCTTGAGATGGTTGCCCCTGATCAGATGTAAGTCGATCCCACCCTCCTCCATGTAGCAGGTACGGTACAGTACTCTATGAAGAGGTGTGGCACACGCATCGGCTGAGCTGAGTTGACTTCGGTTGAGCTGAGAAGAGAGAAAGGGTTCGTGGGTCTCAGCTGCATAGCGATCGACCCGTGCTTTATTCATAGGTTGACTGGCTGTACACTCAGCTCAGCCTAGCGGTACTGCCACCCCCCTCCCCCCGGATACGGTCCCGTCAATCCCTTCCAATAGCCGCCCAGATCTCAATGTTGCCATCGGTCGGCATTTCAATATCAGTGCGACAGGGAAAGGTGCAGCAGGGTCTGAGCTGAACCGCATGGCGTTACTGTATGTCTGTATGATATCGATCACAATATCCCGGCACGGTCAAGAAATGCGGGGTAACAGATTACGGGAAATTCCTGCCCCAAAATAGCAAATGATTCGGAATGCGATCGATGGCTCCTCGGAGGTGTCTACCGGTTAGAATGGTCAGCAAATGCAAACTAGTGATATGGCGATAGTTCGAACCTTTCCCTCTGGCACCGGTCATTGGTGCGCGATATCAGTGGCAGGATGATGACCGAACAACGAATGAGATCCCTGATCAATGGGTGCTGCACTGCAGGCTAAAACTCCCTTCCTGGGCTGTACAGGTTCAGCCACGGTATGAAAAGGCTATTATTGATCATTGCTTTGGGGGGGGGGGGGGGGCTATCGGGTGCTACCTTCGCGTGCTGGCAAAAACGAATGATACCAATCTGCCTGCAGTCGCATCATACCATCACCGGTTGTTCCAAGCAACTTGCTTTTTCAACCTTCTGGTTGCTTCTCTTCGCTCCGTTTCCCTTGTCCCTGTGCAGCTGAAGCTACTTGAATAGCTTGCAGGAAGTTTCCCTCAAACAAGATTTCCGCCCTCCTTAAACCAGGGAAGAGTCGCAGCGACGCTTGTGATGTGTATTTCTCCCGCCAGCGCGATAGCCGCTTATCGAGCTCTCTTTCTGGTCTGATAACGGACGGAGTCAGCCAGTGCACAGAAGAGTACCGTACAGTATGTCAAAACCTTCACAGCGACAGGATGACGACGGGAAGTATAGAAGTCAAAGCCATTATGATGCCGTCCGTCCCTGCGCTCCTAGGCTGCTTTCCTAAAGCGGCGGGATGCGTCAAGAGTGAGCCTTAATCCTCTCTATGAGTGAGTCTGTGAGTCAACTTGGTTCAGTGTTGCGCCCAGGTTCAGTCCACATTCTGCCTAGTCCATGCAGATCAAGCCTCGGTGATTCCCCTTCTTCCAGTTCCTCTTTCTCTTCGCAAGGTCCGCGAGTGTGTACTATACGTATGTGCTGCGTTAAAGTCTCTCGTTTTGCAACCTATGACCATTGACTTCTCCTTGGCATTGTCGCTCCGTGCAGTTTGTCAGTTGCTGATGGGGGGAAGGAGCAAAGAGAAAAAAAAAATCTACTAGCAAACGGGATGCACGGTCAACTCTGATTGGCACCAGAATTGCGCCTCGTCGAGCGAATGCTGATCATTGATGGCGGGATGATTTGAGCGGTTGACTACAACCAAGTGGAGAACCCGCCATTCGAGTCGTCAGATCCTCCAAACTGGAAAGGGCCAAATGTTCTCCACCTTTCGGTCTCCCACAACCGGGTCCGGCTTTTTTTCTTCTCTGTTTTCTGCCTTCAAAGAACTAAGTACAGCCCTGAACCTGTAGATACGTACTTAGCAGGTATCCATCTACCAGTCATCCCAGGACTCTGGTCGCCAGGGATTTTAGCGCCTTTTGTTATTGTTCAAAGGAATGAAGCGTTCTTTCTGTTGACAAACCCAGACATGAAGATGTCATAATGGTCATGTGCGCCCTGTCCTGATTCAATGGTGATTGGCACGATGGGACCAACATCGGGGCGGGCTCCGGGGCTCCCATTCCAAGCCGCTATACAAGTATTTTGTATGTCTGTTTCGGACATGTTTCCAACATTCCTCTATCGGGAGAGGGAGAGTGTGTATGTGAGTGGGCGGGAATTTCCCATTGCCAAACCATCGTCCATTGTCCATCGCCAAGAGGTCGAAAACCCTCTCCTCTCCGCAAATGTAGTGAGACAGGCTTAAAGCAGGGATTGTTGCAAACAAGGCATAGAGGGCTGGGCCGGACCTCCTCGCATAACATCAAAACAAAAAATAAAACACCCTTTCTGCCAATTGTGTGTGTGTGCGTGTGTTTGTGTACAACTTGTGTTTCTCCCACGGTACTCCTAGCAGGCTACACAACACATGGAACAGGGCCGGATCTTCTCTTACCGATTCCATTCGACTAAGGAACATCACTTTTATTCTGGTTTCACCAGGTACTCTCACGAACTTGGTCATGACGTTGGACCGAAGACAAAAACAAATAACGAAACATCCCGATGACTCCCAGGGATACCGATGGGCGAATGATTGTTGCCTTGTGTCTGCCTTCGTAACGGTGTAGACGTGCCCGTGTACTGTAGTTATCCATAGGACCAAATGGTAAGGGCGAGCAAATCACGAAGCGCACTCCTCCGGAAGGATACCGGCTCTAAACAAACGCCTTGGAGAGGCTTGAAGGCAAGGCATCAAAAGAGAATCCTCCAATGCGCCTGTTAGTCTCCCGAGGACGTGCAATTGGGAAAGAGATTCCAGATAGGCGGTGCCGTGCCCACTTCATCGTCATTATCATCGTGAAGACTGGGCGACCGGCATTTGCGATATGGGTACCGTACAGCCAGCCTCGATCCCCTTCCATGGCCGACGTACGCGTGGGATGAGTGAGGCAGGAAGAGAAGCCTTAGGAGAGAAAGACGGAGCGGTCACGGACCATCCAAGCAGTGCTCCCTCCCCCTCCATGGACGTCATTGAATATCTAAGATTCGACACTAGAATACCCCTCGTTGCGATCGAGCATATGGATGGTCGCCGAGAACGTGGGCCATGGAATGAGGGCAACTGACAATGCCAATAATGACGATGACACAACCATTGGATGGTGGGGGGAGGGGGACGGGCGTAGGAATTATGGACCAAATGATGTTATTATTGACACTGAGACCGAGAAAGTGGAAACACTGGAGCCAGAAGTAAGAAAAAAAAAGAAGAAGAATGTGGTGTGATGTTTGGGGATAGCGTCAACAAGAAAGCGGTGTGACAGCGGGAAATGCGACTTGCGATCCATAACAACCGAGTCATTGTGCAATGAAATGAGTTGCCGATGGGCTTTTTTAAGGTTTGGTCATCGAGATAACCACACAGCAAAGCAAGCACATCATCGGATTGTCGAACAGGCCGTTGTGTGCACGGCGCACCTGTTGATCCTCCGTGCAATGGATGGAAAGTTACGGTTGTTGATGATTGACAGGGAATGTATTAGATTAGATTGTGAACTTCGGAAACCAAAGGGGGCATGACGGGTGACCCGATCATTTTTACGAAGCCGTGCTGCAGTCACTTGATGCTTAGAGATGAGAAACCCTCATGATGAGCCTAGGGTTCCACTTGAGCCTCCGAAGAATGTCAACCCGTCAGTGCGAGATAACAGAGTGGGATTTCGTGATTCTCCTGCTGACACACACACACACACAGAGGGCGGAAATGGAGGAGGGAGGGGAAATAAACATAATTTTAAGAGAGAATCTCGTACAACCATTAAGTTACCTTATGCTCCTCGGAATAAGCGAAGCCTCCTTCCGAGTTTCAGCTAAAGAACCGATGCATGAATGCATGAGACGAGATGCAGTAATTGGCCCATATATGCGGCCGGCAAGAGATTTCCACACAATTATTGAGAGGTGTTCAAATCAATCTTCCCACCCATACAGATGATCGAGAAGCCAATCCCAAGTGATCATAACCTCGATGCCGCTAACGTAGGTAGTGTGTATGGTCATTTCTGGTACATACCTACACCTACGTACCTGAGGTAAGATCCTAGTTCCACTGACAGTCACTAGAGCGCCTCAACTTCTCAAGCGTCCGTTCAATTAACTGCATTGGGAATGCCATGATGTTATTTTGGCCCTCTCCCAGATTGCCAATCTCCATCCATATGCCGGGTCTTCTTACGAGTAACTAGTGTCAGACTGCCTGCCTGTGATCATGGATCCTCTTGCAAGTGACCTAGCAGGGATTGATACTCTAGCGCTGGGTCGAGTAAAGCGTCATGCACGGTGGCTGGAGGGCAAAGGCTGATTCGCCCGAGAGCGTTATACTCGGAAGTCCGCCAGGGCGCTATCAGCTGCACAGTTGGGGGCTCGCTACCAATCACGGGATGTTTGGACACCGACGGTCCAGTTGCTCGTCCCGCTGGTGCGCCAGTTGCATTTTCATTTCCAAAATTATACTCAACTTAGAACTGGTATGGTTTTACATACCCCCGAACCTGCAGCATACTAGAGCCAACCCCCCTTCTTCCTCTCCGCCCTCATTTTTGAATGGAAGAAGCGAACGACTATATGTGGAAGGAGAGAAAAAAAAGGAATCGGACCATCTACACTGACTTACATTAGTCGCTTCACAAGAGACGGAGTAAAAGGATCAACATGGTGTGTGCGTCGGCGCTTCCATTGCCCTTCTTCATCGTTATTCGCTGCGAATCACGATCGTTACGCTTGCATATTAAGAGTCTTCTCTGTACGGAGTACTGCACCAGCCAAGTTCAAGGTCAAGTTCAAGGGTCGGGCGATCGGGAAACCCGCTTCTCATGGACACCGTCGGGAAGATGCTCCACTTTTTATTTCTTCCTTAACCCAGGAAGCCAGCCCCAGTTGCAAAGAATGGATAGCGATATGGTTAAAGGAGATAGTTTCTGGCTTCTACGACGTACGCCATAGTCTGTCACTGGAGTATGGAATTGTGTTTGTCGATGCTGAAACCAACAATGCCTCAGCCATGAAGTCACTGAAGGAGAAACTTTCCTCATCCGATGGTACGCCCAGAGGCACCAGTGGAAATCTCTCGCCAATCTGTGGTATCTCTTTTATCACGTTCGGATCAACTTGAATATTCGGCCGTCCCTCCCCCGCTAGATAGAGTTTCCGGAGAAGGCTACCAGCCATTCGAGGTATGGAAATTCGAGTCCAAACATGTGTTCACCACCTACAATCTAGTAGCCTTGATTCCTATGGGCTGGATAGCTATCATGAGCCATTATGTATGAATGATATGAACTCTGTTCTCCTGGTAGAGAGAGAGAGAGAGAGAGAGAGAGAGAGAGAGCGCGCGCGAGAGAGAGGAGGAAAATGAGAAAGGGCGAAAAGCTACTCGAAGTCTGTAACCTGTAACAATCATCAAGATAATGAATTGCCCTCCCAAGACCAAAGTCGCCACTGGGTCATCATTGTCTTTCAAGATGCGTGCCAGAAGGGTGGTCCAAAAGTCGGTTGAGGGAGAGAGTAGCGTATCAAAGAGAAAGAAACAACCGATTCTTTTTCTCCTAATGGAGTAGTTTATCCTTGAAAGAAGACAAGCAAATCAGCTAAACAGAGTGAGCTAGTGATAAGTTAGTACCGAGTGAGTTAGGTGTTACTAGTGATCCGGTATCCACTGGAGTCATACCGTACGGTACGTACTATATGCATGTACTACGTACCTCGACCACGCCCGATGCAGCGGCTCCCTGACCAAAGGGAAGGCAGAAGATGATAACAGCCAGAGAATATTATATGATAATAATTTATATTAGTACGTACGTAGGTATCTCTCTCTCTCTCTCCCTCTAGCCCGCCCATCTAAAGTTGCCTCTGCCTCTCCCTCTTCCATCTCTCATCCTCCCTTTTGGTTTTCTTCTCTCTTGTCCCCTCCCCCTATTTTATTGAGACGATTGATCTTTCTTTGTGATCAAAAACCAGACAAGAGATACTCACCCTCCTGATCTCTGGTTATCTTCTCGTGATTGATCCTCGCTTATCCTTCTTGTCTTATCCTCCCCCACCCTCTTGTCCTCCCTTGCCCGTCTCCAAATCCCTTGTCTGGAGGGGAGAAAAAGATACACCTTAGTGTCTATCTGTCACGATAAAGTAATTTACCTTTTCATTCACGGCTTACCACTTTTTCTTCCCCCCTAAAAACCCCTCCTCCTCAGCTGATTGCTCCGGTGCACATCC